ATTAGAACCCAATTAGTCTTGTATGATGACCAATGAACATATCTTCAAAGGCAAAGCCTATTTGTTCACTCATCCAAAATGACTTATCCAACGAACATTCGCACCTCAATCTTTATCGGGCATTCATGGTAATGTAACTAGCCCTGTTATAATACTAAAAGTACACCCAACAATCTATTATTATAAATTTTAAATTTTCAAAAATAGTGTGAGTTGAGCCTATGAACACTTGAAAATCTTGAAAATTGACGTTGTAGATAATACATTACAAGATGTACTATTTTCAAGACTTTAAATCTACATTTTCTTATATTCATACATCTTGAAGTTGAGATGATCAAATTTTAGGTTTTTCAGCATCGAAACAACCTCTTCTACTTAATTTTTGAGGTGCGCCTTAATTTGATTGTTTTGGGCCTCACTAGCAATGACTCAATTGATGCAATGTTCAATGTTGTGAGGCAACCGACAATGGGGCTTTATAAGTCATTTTGTAGAAAAGAAAATGAGATTTTGTGAGGGAGCATTTTGGTTAAGACTAGGATTGGGGGTTGTGCAAAATCCTAGCTGCTATTGTATCATATTTTTAGTACCCTCATTGGTATTTTTCATTGTACGTCGAGCTACGATGAAGTCAATAATGGAGGTTGATTAATAGTTGCTTCAAGGTAGTAGAAAGGAAAATCAGTGGTACTCTGTGAATTGTGAGGTAACTCACTCATTCACGCAAATGTGGTAATTCATATATAACAATGAAATCATATCTTTATTAGTTGCCGGTGGATGTAGTCCATTAAGCCGAATAACATATATTCGTGTGTTGTGGTATTTGGATTGTATTTTTTTTTTCTTGAGGTAGTTCAACAGTAGTTTGTGGTGTATTGTTGTGGTTTTGGAATTTGTTAATTTACTTGGTTTCCTATTATTTTTTCCCAAATCAAATATTATTCTTGGGTATTTGGGTTTCTTGAAATTAATATAGATCATCATTATCAATCATTATTATTGTCAAAGCCTTTTTCCAACTAATTGGGGTCGGCTACACGAATCTTAGTCCGTCATTCTGCTCTATTAAGGGTCATGCCCTCAGTGAGGCCTTGAGTTTTCATATCTTTTCTTATCACTTCTAACCATGTCCTTTTGGGCATACTCTTTGCCCTTTTTTAGCCTTCTACTTGAACTTACTTGTACCTCTTAATAGGTGTTATACTGAGTTTGTGCCACACATGGCCGGTGCACCTAAGTATATTCTCTCTCATCTTGACTGCCCAACATTCATAAATAAAAGAAAGACGTATGGGCTCAATGCTGCTCCTTGATGTAGACCTTCTCGATCAAAACTATATCATCTACGAACAACATGCATCACAATACCTAATCTTCTAGGTGCCTAGTTAAAACATCCATAAATGAGACAAAGAGGTATGGGCTCAATGCTGACCATTGATGTAGATCTACTGTCATTGAAAACTCACTTGTCTCTCAACTAGTTGTTTGTACGCTAGTTACGGTTCTTTCATTCATATCTCTCACCAAGTCGATATAGTGTGTAGACACTTTTTTCTTTCCAACACCTACCAGATCAAATCTCGAAGTACTTTATCATAATCTTTCTCTAGATTAATAAAGACCATGTGGATGTCTTTTCCCTTTGCCCTAAACTTCTCAATCAATTGCCGAAGCAGGAAAATAGTCTCAGTTGTTGACTTCCTTAGCATAAAACTGAATTGGTTGTCTAATACACTCGTTTCATACATTAGTCGTTGCTCAATCATTTTCTCCTAGAGATTTCATAGTGTGACTCACAAGTTTGGTTCTTTAGTAGTTCGTACAATTCTGTATGTTTCATTTGTTCTTGTAAATAGGTATCACAATACTTTTCTTCAATTCATCTGGCATTTTCTTTATTCTCAACACCTTGCTGATCAAGTCAATGCCAATCTCCCCCATGCACTTCCAAACCTCTATCGGGATATCATTTGGTCTTAAAGCCTTTTCTATCTTCATTCTTTTTAAAGCTTCTTTCACTTCCGATATCCTAATTCTACGAATATATCTATGACCTTTGTCTCATTTATGTGAACGGTTGTTATGTTCCCATTGTGTTCGTCATTTAATAATTTTTAAAAATAAACTCTCCACCTTTTGTTGACCTCTTCATCCTTTACTAAGGCCCTTTGATCCTCACCCTTAATGCATTTTAATATGGTACAGATCTCTACACTTTTGCTTTCTCATTTTTGCTAATTTGAGGACATCTTTTTCACATTTTCTTGTTCTCAGTTTATTGTAGGTGATAAATACATCAATTTTGAATATTAATTTGTGGTAGTTGGGGGTTCACTACAACGATAGTCAATCAAGCAAGAGCTCAAGGATAAACATTTTCAAAGTAAAGAAGTTTTTTAAACTTGGAAAATAAAAGTTCGTGACATTATTGCAACATGTTCAATATAATGGGCTGCAGAAAAAGCCCAAGATACAGATAAGAAAATGGACACCACTAATTTGCAAGTATTTAGCAGGTAAAACATCATTTATTATAGTATGAGAAAAGCCAACAGGGTATACAAAACTAAATCTGTTACAAATAGGATTTCTTGAGAAGAAAATTCATCTTTTTTTTTTTATGATGAAATGGAACATAAAAAGAAAAGGAGAAGGGATTTGACATACTGCATCATAATGTACAGGCTGCGGTTTGTATAGAGCCGAGTCTCTAAACAATCAAAGTAGAGTGTACCTTTAAATAATATCGAGAATTGTGGTTTCAATACTAGAAAATTTTGTGATAGCCTTAAAACATATTTTCATCTCTAATTATAAAATGGGTGCAATTTGTATATAGCCAAGGCTCTAAACAATCAAAGTAAAACGTACTTTCAAATAGTATCGAGAAATATTGAAACTTCAATACTAGAAATCTTTGTGATAGCTTCAAAATATATTTTTATCTTTAATTATAAAATTTAAAGCTTCAAAAATAGTGTAGATCGAGCAGATCTATAAAAAATTGAAAATCTTGAAAATTGATGTCCAAAAATACATTACAAGATGCACTATTTCCAAAACTTGAGATCCATTTTTTTGTCATATCCATGCATTTTGATGTCGAGATGATCAATTTGAGGACATTTGGACATCAAACCAACCTCTTCTATTGAAGTTTTGGGGGTGGGCTCTAATTTTATTGTTTAGAGCCTCGGCTCTATATAAACTTTTTCCTTCTAAAATTTCAAGCTTCAAAAGTAGATCCAGGATCCATGAAAACTTGAAAAACTTGAAAATAGACTACCCAAAAATGTATTACAATATGCACTATTTCCAAAACTTGAAAACCATTTTATTCTCATGTCTATGTATCTTGATGTCGAGATGATCAATTTGAGGATCTTTGACCATCAAAACAACCTTTTTTAGTGAAATTTTTGAAATACACTCTAATGTGATTGTTTAGAGGCTCGGTTCTATATAAACTTTTTCCTAATGTACAAGACAAATTCATTTAGGTAAATGAGTTTTGTTTATGCCAAGAGATTTCATACTCGCGTCGGTGTATATTATACTCTCAAATAAACACGTGATTCATGAGCTGTCAAGGACCATTTTAATTACATTTTGCTATCTAGAGAGAGGGAGAATGATGAGCATTTGGTTCTCTAGAGAGATAAAGATACAGATAGAGAGAGGATGATGGGCATTTCGCTATCAAGAGAGAGAGGATTAGGAGTGGCAATAGACCTGGACGAAGCTCGGGATCCAACGGGTATATTTGATACGAGTCTGGGTACGGGTCCAATATTTGGGCTTGTAGGTCAGGGTCTAAAACCTGGACTCAAACACTACTCGAGTTTGGGTCTGGACTCAAACTTTATTCGAGTCTGGGTCTAAAACTTGGACTCAAATACTATTCGAGTCTGGCTCTAAAACTTGGACTCAAACACTATTCGAGTCTAGGTCTGGACTCAAACACTATTCGAGTCTGAGTCTGGACTCAAACAGTATTCAAGTTTGGGTCTGGACTCAAACTTGGACCTGACCAATACTCGTAAACGGTTGGAGATAAAATATTTCAAACCCTATATTGTTTGAGTGTATTAAAGATTATATACCATAAAAATTTATAGTCATATTTAGCATTAAACAACAAATCTTGAAATCTAATGGAAGGTGATTGTGACTTGTTGCCACTAATAAAACTTAAAAAAAATTACAAAATTCCCTCAAATATATTATTTATGCAACTTGCCTCTCAGTTAACCTGTTCTTTCACTTTTTTCCCCACAATTACATTTCCTTACAAAAACCCCCCAAGGCAAAAAATTGTTATTTTTTGGATGGAAATGCCCTTCTCGACAAAAAAAAAGAGTCAATTGACGGTCCCAAAGTAGCGTATTGCAGGAGCGACCAATTCAACCGCCGGAGCGATGTGGCTTCAAAAGGTGTACTGCCAGAGTGCGTATTTGTACTGCCAGAGCACTTATCTTTATTGCCGGGGCGACATATTCAATGGTCAGAGCGATGTGGTACCAGAAGGTGTATTGTCGAACCGCATCTTTGTATTGTTAGCGCATGTGTCCTCATTGCCGGAGCTACCTATTTAACCGTCGAAGCGCTATGGCTCTAGAAGGTGTACTGTCGGAGCGAGTTCTTGCATTGCCGAAGCACGTGTCTTCATTGTCGGAGCATTTAAATAGACTGCTGGAGTGCATGGAGAGAGAATCGTGGGTAAAAGTCACGAGGACATCGAAGGGGTAGTTTAGTTTTTTTTTCTTTTATCTTGGATTGGGGGGTTTTTATGAAAAATGCTTGTGGGAAAAAAAGGGGGAGAAAATGTTAGCTGGGGGGTAAGTTGTATAGATAGTAGTATATTTGAGGTGTTTTTTTGTAATTTTTCCTAAAACTTACGAATCCAACCTTTGAACTGCACGGTGCAGATGTGAATTGGGACCCGACAAGTTGGGTCGGGTCCCTGAAAAACGGTCCGGACATGACACATTGCCACCCGCCGGCATTACCCACTGCCACCCCTAGAGAGGATGACGAGCGTTTCGCTATCGAGAGAGAGAGGATGATGAACATGCGTTGTTTATATTTAAGAAATCCATACAGTAACCCTTCTTCTCGCTCTTAAAACTACCAAGTCCCAATAATAAGATGCCTTTTTCCAGCAGGTAAACTCAGAGGCAGGAAGCTTATCAGAGAGAGAGGCGTGGCGATTGATGGGCGAGTTTTTGTTGAGATGCATATGTGATTCTGATCAATATTGAGATGAATATGTGATTGTGATCGATAGGAATTTATTGAGAAATTGGTTAGTTTGGAATCATGTGGCAATCCATCTCTCTTACATTGGCCGCAACGGCTGGAAACAACATTGGGAAAGTGTTGCAGAAGAAGGGCACCCTCATCTTACCTCCCCTCTCCTTCAAGCTCAAGGTCATCTCTCTCTCTAATCAAATTACGTGATTTCGATCTCTCTTTCTCTCTCTGGTGTTTCTGAATCGATTTTGAATCGGGAAGCTGGTTTAGATCTCTCTTCCTCTCTCTCTCTCTACTATGGTTTCTTTTTATGGACCTTTGATTCTCTTTCTCTGTAAATGTATATATGTTAATCTTATCGGATGAAGTACTAAAGCATGAAAAATATTCTAATCACTAAGCACCAATGCTCTCTGCACAATAGCAAAAGAAGGAAATCAACCATGAAGGAAGAGCACAAAAGGCTAACAAATTTCATATCAATATTTGAAAAGTCCCGTTTCTCTCTCTTAAATATGATATAAATAATCTTAAGAACCCTGCAAATCTCTACACAATTCTAGCAATTTCCATTTGATAATTCTATTTCCCAAAATGAAAACGGAAGAAACGAAGCAACTTCCCAATCAACCCAAGGTTTTCCCGGAAGAAGATCTAAAAATAAAAAGAAATTTAGGTAAACCTCCTAGATCTCACCATTTTGACCTCGGAAAATTTCTAACAAACTTCACTCTCAATCTGACGTAATCAATGTTCAGTTACTTGGCTCGAAGTTGGGGCTCGGACCCTGTCTGCGCTGGGTAACTTGAGCGACTCTGGGTGGACTTGCCCGAGTCATGTAAGAGCCCAAAAAGTACAAATTTGCAGAAAGAGAATTTACAAATAAGTTGTTATTAAAATAAGGGATTGTCTACAAAGAGACCATTTATCTTTTGTGCATGGAAGTCACGATCATTCTGACACTTTAGATGTCAAATTAGATGGCTACAACCACCCATTTTGAAATTTAACGGATAAGAATAATTGTGATAATCCATGTACAAAAGATAAATGGTCCCTTTGTAGATAATCCCAAATAAATAACATAAAAAGCTAAAGAAGTTATAAAATGCATTAAAGTCTATAAAAAAATAGAAAAATGTATGGAGAAAATGGAATATGCAAGAATTTGATCTATAGCTTGGCACAAAAAAATCTAAAGAAGGGGGAAATAGAAAAATAACACATATAATAAGAAACATTCACCAAATCATCATAAAAAACACGGAACATATTGATTCACCATTTAGTAGTATTAGTAAAAGTGTTTGTATTTTTTTTAAACCTTTTAATGAACTCAAGCTTGTCACCAGAACTTGCCTCACCAAGATGTTGAGGGAGGCAATTTGGTCTAGTTTTGGTATTTGGGTACCATGTAAGTGAATGACTTCATTGAAGAATAAATAGGCTAGAAAAGTCGCACCCGTGACCTTCTTACAAGGTATGAGTGAGTCATTTTAGAGAATCAGTCTGCGACTGCAAACATAGAATCCATACCTCTCTAAGTCTGCAAAAGGCCCAATAAAAGTACTCATATTGATGTCCTCCCATGGAGCACTACGAAATGGTAATCGGGTGTAACGACCTCTATTTTGTGAATGCAACTTACCAATTTGACATGTACAAACATCTCTTCACAAATTGGTCCCCATTTCTTTTAAGTCTTGGCCATAAATAGTCTTCGTCTACCACAGATATAATCTTATTACACCCAAGGTGACTACTTAACCCTATGTCGTGCAACTCATTCAATGTCTTCTCTCTTAGGGAACCTATAGGAATGCACAATCGACTTCTTGTAGAGTGGATCCCATCGTGCAAAATGAAGTCATGTGTTCTATTCACTCCATACCTCTCTAAGATATCTTTGAACTAAGGATCATCATTATAGAGTTCCTTGATAATATCGTGCCCCATGAATTCTTCACGAAGAGTATTAAGTAGTACTACTCTTCAACTCAATGCATCAAGAACTTTATTTTGTGCTACCACTTTATGTTGGAGTAAAAGAGTTTAATCTTGAAGTAACCACTTACCATGTTTTTATGAGTGGTAAGTGAATTTCTTGTGAATTGAGATAGCAGAAGACAAAGAATAAAACAAATCCTTGATGAATCAAATAGTGTCTCCAGTGTTAAAGGGTTTGAACTACTGCAGATAGCTCCTTTTCATACACAAAGTAGTTTTGTTGAGTCTCATTAAGCTTCTCACGACAGATGCTAACATGGGCATCTCTCTTGACTTAAGACAACAACAATACCCACATATGAAGCATCACACCCTGCCTCGTAGACTTATTGAAATCTGGTAGAGCAAGTACTGCCGCTTGAGTCATCTTGTGCTTGATCAAACAAAGCCTCTCTCGGCATCAGGACTCAATGTGAAATCTCCCCCTTTTAGGCAATCCAAGGTTGTTGCAATAGATGCTGAAGTTTTGAATAAATTTATATAGAAAGTGGCAAGTCCATGAAAACTACATACTTGACTGTCTTTGGAGCAGGCCACTTCAAATTGATTGCATCTTCTCGTTATCAATCTTCACACCATCGACAAGATAAAGCGCAAAAAGACCACATTGGTCACTAGGAAGAAAAACCGGTTTTTTGAGGTAAATAAATACTTTCTCCTTTCTTCACACTCCCAAGACTTGGCATAAGTGGTCCAAGCGCTTGCATTGGCACCCTAAAAACAAGAATATCATCAAAATAAACAACAATCAATTACCTATGAAATAGCGTAATTTCTTTATCAAAAGGTGCATGGATGTACTATGAGCATTAGAGAGGCCTAAGGGCATCACAAACTACTCATGAGGGCCATCTCAGGTCTTGAACGCCATTTTCCATGAATCCCCAGGCCTAATATGAATTTGATGATATCACTCTTAAGGTCAATTCTAGGGAAGAACTTTGCGCTAAGTAGCATATCCAGCAAATCTTGCAATAATGGATTTGGAAAATGATATTTGATGGTAATTTTATTGATGGCATGACTGTTCACCTGCATTCTTTAACTGCAATCCTCTTAGGTGTGAGTAAAGTTGGCACCACACACAGAAACATGCTCTCCCAAAAGAAAATAAGTAACTTAATGAACTTGATATTTCCCCTAAAGAAGATCTTAAAAAGTTATGGAAATCTTCTAAACCATGAATAAGACTATTTGTTCTTCTTCCCCAATTGGGGAACTCTTCCAATTCCTTTGATATGACATCAATAGATGTCTTTGCGTTTCTCTCTCTATATATTGAATTTTGTTGGAATTATCTGAAATTGGTTGACATTTAGGGCCGTTTGGATACCTGGAAATCTATTACGTGACAATAGATTACAAGGAAATATGGTACACTTAATCGTAAGGAAATGGAAAGAGATTACGCGAGATTTTCCCAAAAATCAAGAAATCCATTACGCGCGGTGATAAGTGAAAAATCTATTACAGGGGTGACGGGTAATTTTGAGAAATAGTTCGCGTGCGTTTTTTCCTACCCTATCCCTAATTAAAAAAATCTTATCTTGTAAGCCTCTCTCTTGATACTAACTAGCATAGGTGATCCCTCCCTTTTTGAGTTCGTCCCCTCATCTGAAGGCATCAGTTGTCATATAAAAATAAAAATCAGTAATCAATGATAAATTACAAAACGCAATCATAATAAAATTTTTTACATAACATAATCCTATATGAAGGCATCAGCTGTCATATAAAAACAAAAATAATAAAAATAAAAATCAGTAATCAATGATAAATTACACAACACAATCATAATAAAAAATTTCACACAACATAATCCTCATAAGAGATTACTAAAATCTGAATTGAAATAACATACCTCTTTAGTCTCCTCCAATACCTCAAAATTTTATACTGCAATTACCAAACCTTCTAGATTACTAATCAAACTTCATCCCATTTTTTAACTTGTACCATAGAGATTTTGAATTTAATATCATAAATTTATTGTTTATTTGAAATTATATAGGGAGACATTTGAAAGACTTCTATAAAAAATAAATAAAAATAAGGCTTATCATAATAAAATCATATTATTCCAATCAAATTGTTTCAATGACTTATCATGTTGAAACCAATGTCGTGTTAAAAAACATGTGATTCCATGTAAGTGCGAAACACATGTAAAGTAAGTAGGAAATGGTGTCATGATGACTGTAAAATGGTACAAGTTATTATTAGAAAATCTTTTTGGAATGGTGATGATGTTATTATTAGAAATCCTTTTGGAATGGTGTGATGATGATTTTAATTCCGTATTTTAGTGGAATTTTGTGACAAAAAGGAAATAAATGATAATTCTGCATTTTAGTGGAATATTGTGACAGAAAAGAAAGAAATGATAGTTTATAGGCACGTGCTGGTAAAATGTTGGTTATGCATTTCCTATATTTCTTCCAGACATAGCCAAACAATAACAATGTATTTCCCAGGTTGCATCTAAATACTACCCAACAGTAACAATCCACAATATATTTCCTGGTATCCAAACGGCCCCTTATGGAATGTGGTTGTAATTTTATTTGCTTCAAATATTCAGTTTTGTTACTATTCATATTTACATGAGTTAGCGTTGGATGAATTTGTTCGATGATCGTAAGAAACATGATCTCGTTAACATCTATGTCCCATGTTTTTGTGAGATTTTCATAACTTAGACATTACAGGCTTCAAATTATTGTTCAAACCTGTTGTAAAAATTAGTAACTCTTGTTGTTTCCTTAGGGGCCGTTTGAATCTTGGGAAAAAGATTATCAGGAAATAGTTTTCCGGGGAGATTGCCCATTTTTGCCATTTGGATCCAAAATTTGGGATGGAAATTTATTTCTGTCAGACATGTTTTCCTTTGAGCTCAAATCAGGGAAATTGTTTTCCTCCCCACAAGGCGAGAAATTATTTTCCCTGACAGATTTCCTTATGGAGTTGAACAAAAAGTTAAAATGAGCGTATATTTTGTTAGGTCTTGAACAAAAAAGGGCAATAACTTTCCATCTCTCTCCCTAGCCCTCCCTCACTTCCATGCTAACCCAACTCTCTCTCTCTCTCTAACCCAACTGTCTTTTCTCTTCTACCTCTCCTTCTCTTTCTTCTCATTTTGTAAATCTTTATATCTTTGTTTCACGTCTCTC